GCACTCAAGAAGGGGTGATAAAGTGAGACTCTGCCTCAAAAAAAGAAAGGGAAAGAGAAGGAAGGGAAAGGAAAGGAAAGGGAAGGGAAGAGAAAAGGGAAGGGAAGGAAAAAGGGAAGGGAAGGGAAGGGAAGGGAAAACCACAGTCTTTCCACACAGTTGGTTCAACTGTGTGACCATGCAGTTCAGTGTTTATACCTGTGTAAGACTTTCACACAAACTGACAATCACAAATGAAGAGGAAGACTACTGTTTAACCCACGATCTGTCTGCTCCACTGCCTTTGGTGGCAGTGGTTGCCCAGGCCCATGCCAGTGGGATTCTGAAAACTGGAATCTGTAGCTGTTTAAAGAATGACTGTGCTGGGCGGTGCCTGTGGCTCAGTGGGTAGGGTGCTGGCCCCATATACCGAGGGTGGAGGGTTCAAACCTGGCCCTGGCCAAACTGCAACAAAAAAATAGCCGGGCGTTGTGGCAGGCACCTGTAGTCCCAGCTACTCAGGAGACTGAGGCAAGAGAATCACCTAAGCCCAGGAGTTGGAGGTTGCTGTGAGCAGAGTCCAGCACTCTACAGGACTCTGCCGAGGGTGATAAAGTAAGACTCTGTCTCCACACACACAAAAAAGGACTGTGCCAAGCCTGCCCCTAGACAAGTCTTAGGAGTAAGAAGAGAATTTAGAGAAAACTTCCCACCCTTAGTCATCCAAGATCTTATTCTCTAAGTGAGAAATCTTATGGGAAATAGGGAAAGGGAAAAGGAAGAGATCAGTGTTTGGGGAGTGCCTCCCCCACTGGCCAGCCCACCTCTCCCACCACCTGCGTTCCTGGAGTGATTTCTCTGACCAGAGAAGTCTCCTCCTGCCCTTCCTCCATACCATACCCCAAACCTACCCTGCCTCTGGCTGCAGTCAGGCAACACAGAAGAGCCCCAAGAGATGGTCAGCTACCTGCTCTCAGGAGAGCTGGGTTGTCCAGAGAGGTTACTTCAGACCTCTGGCTTCAGTTCCCAGGCCTCCTCCCACTAATCTGCCCTCCTACCCACCTTCTTCTTATAAATCAGATAGCACTAGAGATAACCATCTGGACAATTGCTTTCCTGAAGCTTTTTCTGAAGGAAACGTATCAGAGCAGGCAGTCAGGGGTCATTAGCCTCATCCTCCTCCCTCCCTCCCCTGGGGCCAGGAGTCAGGCTCTGCCACTCCACCCACCCCACAGCCACCTACTCTTCTGCCTGCCCTACCTACCACCAGCCAGGCCCAGGGTTCCCAGGCATGGGCAAGCAGGAGGTAGATCCCTGAGTGGACAGTGTACACCAGAGCCTTCCAGAAAACTGGGAATAAGTAACCACATCTTCCAAAGGGCCCTCTCACCTGGGCCCTAGCCCTCACCTGAGTTCTCATTGTCTCCTCCTGGGCTGACTCATCATTGAGCAACCAGGAGACTCCCACCCCCACCTGCCCACCTCAGCACAGCTTGCTGACTTCTCCAAAAGCCCAAATTGCCCTGACTTCATGCCCCTGGATCTCAGCCACTACAGCCCCACCCTCCCACCCACAAGGGACCCACCCCCCACCTGCCCAGGCTCCTTCAACTCACCCCTTCAAGTCCCTGAACACCTGCCACACCCTCCAAAGCTCACCTTTTCTTCCCACCCATGGTGGGCTTGAGTCTTACACTGCTTCCAAATGCTGGGACACGTCCCTGGACTCCTGTCCCTTCTCAGCACTGTTCTCTCCAGAGCCTGGCCTAACTTTGGCAGTGTGAGTGTCCCTTCCATTTCCTCCAATTCACTCTATCACTTATTCACTATTCATCTGCTTATTCATTTATTGACTCATGTATTCACCCTCTTGTTCAGTAATGCATTTCTTCTCTCATTCATTCCCTTCTTATGTTGTTCATTTTCCCCACTGCCTTCAATATACAGGGAAGTTGGCTCGGCGCCTGTGGCTCAAG